TTAAGGAGTTCTAATAATATTTATGTTATCCACATGAATATCTATTGTATCAAATTCTTTTTAAGATATTTTCATAAAAATACAAGAACATTTGGAGTTATTTGTATATCCCTCCTTTAACAAATCTTTACTAAGACGATTATACCACATGTGTCCATATTGTTTTAGCTCATAAAGAGACTTGTTCAATTTTATGGAGTAATTTTCTCCATATCCAAAATTATGTGTCTCTGATATATTAAATTCTTTAGGGAGTTTCATGTAAATGTCACTATCAAGTGAACCGTATAAATAAGATGTCACAACATCTATCATGTTCATATTAAGCCCTTCATGCGCTACAAGGCTAATCAAATATTGAAAAATTAATTAAATCCACTAAAAGTGGATATGTTTCATATAAATCAATCTTAGATCTCTGCGAAATTCATTGAGCAACAAGTAAAACTTTATACAGTTCTTATTTTGCTTTTTCACAAAAACTTATTTATATCCCATTAGTTTTACACCTTGAGGCGTTTGGACTATATGTCCAAAATCGAGTCACTTGTAAAGTGAGTTTAATTCTTCTTCAATTGAATATATTCATTTTGGTCAATTCTCACTTTATCTATAATCTTGGATAGACTTTGATTTATGATATGTTCATTTTGACCAATTCTCACTTTGTCTACAATCTTTGGTAGATTTTGTTTCACAATCCTCGTTATCGTTTATCATCTTTAACGCTATACTGTATACAAATACATTGTCAATATCGACTTTATTTGGTTATCTTAATTTTGGTTCCATTCTATTTCATCCATGACATAATTTATCGAGATATCTTTATTTCATATTTCAAGTACTTGATTAGTTCTTCTGGAACTGAAAAATAAATTATATCAAAGTGCTCTTAGAATTTTCATATCCTCACTTGGGTCATCTTTAACTTTAGTTTATTTTCTTGGTAGAGGACTTGCAACATTGGAACCGAATTTTCTACCACACTTCCGACATGGCTACAACTCATTTATAATATTAGATTGTCCAATAGGAAAATCCACTTTGAGTGGAGTATAAGCAGCTGATAATTTGTTTCATAGACTTTACAAATGAATTGTGTTTTGAACTTCGAGGATCAAATAATATAATAATATTTTATTTCAAATTGTTCATTTGAACTTTTGGTTCACAATTTGAGCTTCTTATTCTCCCTCCCTAATGTTGAAAAAAATTAATTTTTCAATAGATAATCAGCCTACTAGGCTTCAAGCACATATCTAATTATCGAACCAAGATAAACCTCAAATACAATATTCATATAAAATGAATTTTCTCAATATTCTTTCAAAAATCATCTTAGCATACTATATTGGAGCAATTGAATATACACAACACATCCAAAAGTTTACTTAGATGAGAAGTATTCAATTATTAACCTAAAATAATTTGTAAGTTAATGAGAGATTAACATATAATAACTTGTTGGCATAATGCGAATAAATATTTGAATAATCATGGTTGTGTGTTTCAAATATATAATTTATTACCTATGATATCATAAGAATCTGCCAAGTAATTAACTTTAGACATCTAAAGAATGGATCTTCAAGTCCATTTTTTATGAACATGTGCTATAAGATATTCAATATCAAATTTAATAATATATGTGATACTTATCAAGAAAATTTTGAATTGAGATCTTAGTATGAGAAAACAACTTCACGAACTTCTGGTTGTGAGTAGACAATAAATATTTGCATGATATTTTAGTCGATGCAATAATTAATGTTCAGGTTCTTCAATATTCATTTTTGCATCATAAAACATTCGAGATGACACAAGCGATTTCGTCAGCAGCAACACACTTAAATGTGATTTGTAAATTTCTAGTTTACAATAATACATATGAATCTATTCTTCTAATTTGTATCAATTCATAGTAAATAATAAATAAAAAATATAGATTGATGGTATGTAATATAATTACAAGTTCCACATTTAAATCATAATTTTTTAAATTTTGCTAAAAATCACATAGTACATAAAATACATTACTATATTTTCTTTATATATATATATATATATATATATATATATATATATATATATATATATATATATATATATATATATATATATATATATATATATATATATATATATATATATATATATATATATATATATATATATATATATATATATATATATATATATATATATATATATATATATATATATATATATTGTAGAGTACAAAAATTATTCAACAAATATAAATAATTTTACAAATTTTATGAAAGAATTAGAATTTAATAAAAAAAATTGAAATAAAAGAAAATAAATATTTGTTTATTAGAAAATTACAAAAAGAAAATATATGTATATTATAAAATACATTATTTTTAAGAAAATAATTTATTCAATCAAATCACCATTAAGACTTATCTTTACAATATAAAAATTTCAAAAGAAAAAAAATTACTTTATATTTGGGCGATTCGTTTTATTTTAATTTTTTATAAAACACGATAATAACAATAACACAAATTAATAACATTTAATTATCAAATAAGTACTGGTCAATCTTAATAAATTAGTCACAAAACTATAACATTATGTTATAAAAAAAATATTAAATTAATCACATTGATTTTGTCGATCAATAATTATAATAAATTAATAATATTTTGTTAAGAAATATATATTTTACTATCTTATAAAACTCAACCAGAATCTCTATGATAAAAAATTACGATCCTTCAAAAGATCTTGATATTAAAATATTAATTTATCTAAAACAATGGCTCAATCATCATAGACGATAAAAAAAATTAGATGGTCAATCATTTAGTGAAACATATAGTTCTTAACGAATGATGTTATGGACTGACCCGACAACTTTGAATGGGTCCAATCTAGACCTTTCCTTTGGTGTGGACCGCACGTCCATGACCCGAACCGCCCGTTATCCGTCGACTTGTCCCATCTTAAGTCCGTCTTTTTTTTTAGTTAATTCTAATTGGTACATTTTTTTATGATTTTATTTTATATATTTATTTGTGAATATATGCAGTTTTTTTAAGTAAATTTTGTTAAAAAGATTTTTTATAAAAAATTGTTCTAAAAAATAAGTGATAAATATAATTAAAATGTAAAAAAAAGTCTTTTAATATATTAAAAAATGAAAAATAAATATAAAGAAAGTAAGCAGGCAAGTCCGACTGCCAACCCACCACCTTAGCAGAGCGAACTAGATTTTTATGCTCATTTTTACTTGGCGGGCTTGTCTGTCCCGCTCTTTTTTTAGTGGGCTTAAGGCTGGGTGGGGCGGGAGGGGAAAGGCGGCGTCCCGTTTTGCCACCTCTAATAAAAACAATAATATTTGCAATCCTTTAGGGATGCGGCTTGATAAGTTCTTCATATTATTCTTCAGGGATATTTGATAAGTTCTTTAGAAACTATATATCAAACTCAATATTATTCTTCAGGATATTTGATCTTTCAGAGATGCTTTATAAGTTTTTCAGGAACTAAGAATGCTTTGTAAGTTTTTCAGGAACTATATATATAATGTTATTTTGCGTTCTTCAGGAACTATAAAATGTTATTGTTCTATCCTTAAGGGATGTTTGATACTTATAAGTTCTTCAGGAACTTATATAAATATTCTTTTACTATCATTCAGAGATATATTATAAATAACAGGTAGAGAATATAAAAAAAAGAAGTATCTTCTAAGTGTCAGAGCTTCGTGCTGATATCATATTATAAAATAAAAAAAATAAGTAACAAAGAGAAAAGAGAAAGATCGAATGATTCTGGATTATTTCATCAGTGTATTTCTACAAAGAGATTTGTCCTATTTATAAGATAATATCCAATAAATATAAATTTTTATAAATAAAGAACAAAATCATTGATAAACAATCTTTCAATTATTCATAACACTAATAATATATAAGTAATTCTTAATCTCTTCGTCCCAAGTTATAAGTCACTTTGACTTTTTGCCTAATATACCATCTACTATTTATTTCTCTTCCTTTTTTCTATTCTTTAAATTTTGCTTTTCAATGTACTTATTGAAAGATATTTTTATAAAGTCATACATCATTTATCTTTTCCATAAAATAATAATTACATTTGTTAATTTGCCAAAATATCCTATAATTTAGTACAAATAAAATATAATTTATTAACGAATATAGATATTTGCGAACATAAGTATCATTAAACTCATATTTATATCTATTTATAAACAAATATTTAAATATTTATTTATTTTACCCATAAATATCTATTAAACTATTCACTCTTTATGACAAATTTTATTACATATATTCAGATATACAAATTTATTTGTCATTTCTAACTGTAATAATTTTACACCACCATCAATATATTATAATAATTCAAATGTATTACTTTAAACAAAGTTAAAATAAAAGTTAAATATTTAAAATAAATTAATATTTATGATTAATTGATATATACAATATTTTTATATTATTTATTAAATTCTATTTTAAAAGATAAAATCACCTTCTTTTTTTTAATTCAAACTTAAATAATATACATGTTTAATTAAATTTAATGAAAATACATAGACAATGTAAAAGAATTTTACATTAAATGTTACAAAAAAATTTAGTTTTTATATTAATCACTTAAAATAATGTAATTGGATAATAGTGATGAATTGAAAATGTAAAAGTAACCGTGTATAGTTAATCGGGTAAGAATTTATTCAAAAACGAATGAATAAAAATTAGTAAATTCTTTAAACTTTTTAAGTAAACATATTAAATCTCTAAAAATGTGTTTTTTTTTCTAATTAGATAAACACAGTGATCCAAAAAGAAGCAAGAACAACAATTACTAGAGTGAGAGTTGAGCGGAAGGTGTTGCTGAGAGACGAGTCTTGCCTCTGCGCTTAACTTGAACAAGAATAAAACTCTCGAGTCTTGTTCACACACTTCCATTTCTGAATCCATTGCTATGAAATTTTGAAAATGAGTAATCAAACGCTGCGTTTTGCATTCCTTCTCCTTCTCTGTTCCTCCGTCTTCTCATGGAAGAAAGAAGAGTTCCGAAACTGTAACCAAACCCCATTCTGCAAACGAGCTCGATCTCGCACCCCCGGTTCCTCCGACCTCATCGCCACCCACGTCGCCATCACCGACGGCGACCTAACCGCAAACCTAATCCCCAAATCCCAATCCGAATCCAATCCCAAACCCTTGATCCTCACCCTATCCGTTTTTCAAGACGGAATTCTCCGTCTCAAGATCGACGAAGATCCTTCCCTTAACCCTCCCAAAAAACGCTTCCAAGTACCTGATGTCGTCGTTTCGCAATTCTCCGACACTAAACTCTGGCTTCAACGACTCACTTCCGAAGATGACGGTCTTTCCTATGCTGTTTATCTTTCAGACGGTTACTCCGCTGTTCTCCGTCACGATCCGTTTGAACTCTTCATCCGTGACGATAACTCCGGGGATCGTGTGATTTCGTTTAACTCCCATGGTTTATTCGATTTCGAACATCTTAGAGAGAAAAACGAAGATGAAAACTGGGAGGAGACTTTCCGGTCTCATACCGATAAAAGACCATACGGTCCTCAGTCGATTAGCTTCGATGTGTCTTTCTATGATGCTGATTTTGTTTACGGGATTCCCGAACGTGCTACAAGCCTCGCGTTGAAACCGACCAGGGGACCTAATGTTGAAGAATCAGAACCTTATAGGCTTTTCAATTTGGATGTTTTTGAATACATTCACGAATCGCCGTTTGGACTCTATGGTTCGATTCCGTTCATGCTTTCTCACGGGAAAGCCAGGGGTACTTCTGGGTTTTTCTGGCTCAATGCTGCTGAGATGCAAATTGATGTTCTTGCTCCTGGTTGGGATGCTGAGTCAGGGATTTCGCTTCCTTCTTCGCAGAACAGGATTGACACGATGTGGATGAGTGAAGCTGGTGTGGTTGATGCTTTTTTCTTCGTTGGTCCTCGGCCTAAAGATGTTTTGAGACAGTATGCTGCGGTAACAGGACCTTCGGCTCTACCTCAGATGTTTGCAGTGGCTTATCATCAGTGCCGGTGGAACTATCGTGACGAGGAGGATGTTGAGAATGTTGATGCTAAATTCGATGAATATGATATACCTTATGATATTTTGTGGCTTGATATAGAGCATACTAATGGGAAGAGGTATTTTACTTGGGATAGGGTTCTTTTCCCTAATCCTGAGGAGATGCAGAGGAAATTGGCTGCTAAAGGGAGGCACATGGTTACCATTGTGGATCCTCATATTAAGAGAGATGACAATTTTCATTTGCATAAGGAGGCATCTGAGAAAGGGTATTATGTTAAGGATTCCAGTGGTAATGATTTTGATGGTTGGTGCTGGCCTGGTTCATCGTCTTACGCCGATACTTTGAGTCCTGAAATTAGGTCCTGGTGGGCTGATAAGTTTTCTTATCAAAGTTATGTTGGTTCAACTCCTTCACTTTACATATGGAATGATATGAATGAACCTTCTGTCTTCAATGGTCCTGAGGTATTTCTATTATTTCAAATATTTTCCTTCTACTTACCATCATCGTTCATGTGATTTAGCAGTTGAATTGTGACACCACAATAGTAGCTTGTCTGTTCTATCAAATCACACTCAAGGACAAGACTAAGCATCCCTAACTGATTTAAGATTCAGGCAATACAAAATTATGAGGGAGATTCTGAAATTTGGTTGACCCACAGTGAATTCAAATCAGCATTGACTACTAGATCTGTTAGAAAACGCGTAATGTGTTGCTACAATTGTCAGAGATCCCATTATTCTACTCACCAACAATGTCCCAAAATTGTTTAATGATGCAACTTGTGGTTGCTGTTGTCTTGTGTCTCTACTTGTGAGTTGTGACTCCTCATTTGAGTCCTCATGATGTCTATTTTGTACAGTGTGATTTAAAATTTTATGAGTTGAGCCTGGATCTATGGATTTTTTTAAATCTACACATCCGCACTGTATTTGTAACATTATGCTTGTATCCAGGTGACAATGCCTAGAGATGCTTTACATTATGGAGGTGTTGAACATAGAGAGTTGCACAATGCCTATGGGTATTACTTCCACATGGCAACAGCTGAGGGGCTTGTGAGGCGTGGTGAAGGGAAAGACAGACCATTTGTTTTGTCAAGAGCATTGTTTGCTGGAAGTCAAAGGTATGGAGCAGTTTGGACCGGTGATAACACTGCCGATTGGGATCAGCTTAGAGTTTCTGTTCCAATGGTTTTGACCCTTGGTCTTACTGGGATGTCATTCGCGGGTTAGTATCATCCTTCTTATGGTGCATTAATTATTTTGTTGTTCTTTCCTTCACATATTCACAGGCAGACAGTCTACAACTTTGCACAAGTTAGCATTCTCTGCTCAGATGATGACAATCATGTATGTTATGCAGGTGCTGATGTTGGTGGGTTTTTTGGAAATCCGGAAACTGAGTTATTAGTCCGCTGGTACCAGCTAGGAGCTTTCTATCCTTTCTTTAGGGCCCATGCCCATCATGACACAAAAAGACGAGAACCATGGTTGTTTGGGTAGGACTAAATTTCTTTTAAGATTTCTATGTCCCAAAGTCAATATGCCATTAGGTCTTTTGCCATTCCCTTCATTTTATGCTTATTCAAAGAAAAGATAAAACAGTGGTTTTCTAATCATTTTTTCCTTGGTTAAAAGCTGTTTTCCTTTGAAATATAGTCAAATGTGATTTAATAGAAGGACTTTATAAAGGGATGAATAACTGTACAAATCTTAGATATAAATGAATTGATGTTATATTGTATATCTAACATAGAAGCGCAAACTAGTATCACAGGGACACAATCACCAAAAACCCTAACAAGTTTACACACTTAGACCTTTCCCTGTCCCCATAAGCAAGGGGGTTTAGTTTTTTATTTTCTTTTGCATAAGTGCCAAGGGGGTTTAGTAAGTGGCAATGTTGATTGAATTATAAGAAATGCAATACAGATGTACCAAATTTACCTACTATATGCCCCTTGACTATCAAATGGATCCTGAATTTTGTGGTTATCTGTACTGTTTGTCAACATTGCGAATTAATTGTCCTTCTGATTCTGATATTGCAGAGAACGGAATACAGGATTAATTAGAGATGCTATACATGTTCGTTACGCACTTCTACCATATTTCTACACATTATTCAGGGAGGCTAACACTACTGGTGTTCCTGTGGCTCGTCCAATATGGATGGAATTCCCATCCGATGAAGCTACTTTTAGCAATGATGAAGCTTTCATGGTTGGGAACAGTATTTTAGTGCAAGGGATCTACACCGAGGTGCTGTAGTCAGTTAGCAGACACATATGATTTCTTTCAGCTTATCATTTCTTTCTTTTTTGTGGTCCTTATTTGAAGTTTTTATAATCGTTTATTGCTGGCAGCGAGCTAAGCATGCATCCGTCTATTTGCCCGGGAAACAATCCTGGTATGACCTAAGAACTGGAACTGTGTACAAGGGAGGGGTGACACACAAGTTAGAAGTTACAGAGGAGAGCATTCCCGCTTTCCAGAGAGGTGGGACCATTCTACCAAGGAAGGACCGCTTTCGGCGAAGTTCCACTCAGATGACAAATGATCCCTTCACTCTGGTAAGTTTTTGTGCTGATTCCATGTGATTTTTGTGAATCTGTTAAAATGGCTCATGTTTGACTGTTGTATTTCTATTCATGCCCTTTGTTGACAATATGGATGTTAAAATAGAGTTTATGTTGACATCAGGCCATCAGTAGTCTGACTTAGAGTAGTGGGAGAGCACGATAATATGTTTTGAAGTTTAATATTTGAGCTTCTGACCTATCTATTATGTAGATTTTGAATTGTTACATATAATATGCGTTTTGCCCATTTTAGTCTGTACTTGAGATTTGGAAACTGAATGATTAAGACAGTAAAAGCAAGTTTTGATGCCCACATGTGTGTACATCCTACCAAGTAAAATTAAAAAAAAAGTCATTTGGCTACTCCCGTAGAATATGCCTGGTGAGTTTAGAAGTACCTGGATACTGATTAGTTGAGTAACATGGTTATTTGTTGTACTCTGCATTCCATAAAAAAAGTGGCCCTGTAAGAATGAGTTGGGAAATGTAGCGTGGCTATACCTTGTTTGTAACTTATGACATCTATGGAAAGTAGACTACTAGTTTGCTCGATGATAAAATTATTATTGTTTGTTTGACAGGTTATAGCTCTGAATAGCTCCCAAGCAGCTGAAGGTGAGCTGTACATAGATGATGGCAGCAGTTTTGGTTTTCTAGAAGGTGCCTTTATCCATAGACGATTTATTTTTGCAAACGGGAAGCTTACATCTGTAGATCTGGCACCTACTTCTGGTGGTAATGTTAGTCATAGATCAGATGTTGTCATTGAGAGGATTATCCTGCTAGGACACACTCCTGGCTCAAAGAATGCACTGATTGAACCCTCAAATCAAAAGGTTGATATAGAACTTGGGCCTCTTTGGGTTCAAAGGGAACGTTCGCCAGTTTTCATGACCATACGTAAACCAAATGTCCGTGTTGCAGAAGATTGGACCATCAAAATTTTGTAATTGGTAGTGCAAAATAATCTGTTATTTAGTCGACTTGATTTGAAGTTCAACTGCAAAAGTTAGGGTAAGGAAAAAGAAGTCTTGAAGAATGCCCGTGCACAAATACATTTTCAGCTGCTTGTTTAATGACTTAGGATTTGAGATTGAGATATGTATTCTTGGAAGGCAGACTTCAATTTAGCCTACGGAATTAATTTGACAAAGATAGTTTTTATCATCTGGAATGGTCTTCTATGCTGGCTTTTGGGAAAGTACATTGATGTATGCAATAACACTTACTTTATGTAAGTTCATTTCAAAATCAAAATAGTCGATTAAGGGACTTATACTGAGTATTTAAGGATATTAGATAACCCCTTTAGCGGCACTCTTGTTATTCAGTTTTATTGAAAGTTAAAATAATATGCATATGGCCGCAACCGAGTATAGCTGATTGAGAAGTTTATGATTAATTTCTCTTTAGTTGTGCTGCCTCTATAATAGAAAAGTTGAGAGTAAAAGAAAAGAGAAGACACGATAGATAGAGAAGTGAGTAGCCAAAAATGGGTCCAAAAATTGTAATGCCGGGCTATTTTAATCTGAAGTTTATAAAAAAACATATTTGAAATCAATAGACTTCACTCATTTTTGTCTTTTATTAAGAGTTCTAACATATGTAAATATATGACTTGAAGTGGGAACAATTTTCATCCTACAAGTCAATTATGTAGGTTGAGTTAGGTTCAATCACATTCTTAACATGGTATCTAGAATCTACTTAGAGACAATCTGTCATCGTGCTTATCCAGTTGATCAACTGTCTTACGGTGAAAATTTTTTGGTAAATCGTGTCATAATTACGGTTTGCCCTCCCTCCATACACAATAGTGATTCATTTCGTCATCAGTTTTCGAATTTCTCCGATCACTACTGTCGTCGTCGCTACTGTTTTTGGCGATCTTTCAGAAAACCAACATTATCGGTAGAAGTGCCTCCTCTGATTCGGCCTATTCCGACGACTTTTTCACCGACCCACTCGTCTTTCTGCCCTTGTTTCAGATCCGACCTCATTTTATTTTCCACTCGAAAAATTGTGATCCAGTTCAAACAGAGTCTTTTTCATCTGATTCACGTGATATTTTCTCTCTTCAGATACTCATGACTACTCCTCAAAATTTTACGCCAAACTACGATGATTTCCTCAAGTGATATCAGGATTATCAGAACTCAGATTCTACTGCTTCGGTTGCACACACTGGTAATTCATATGTTTGTCTCTCTCAATCATCTTCTCTTGGACCTCGGGTCCTTGATTCTAGTGCGTCTGATCATGTTATCGGTAATAAAAATATTTTATCTTCCCTCTCTACCTCTGGTTTCTTACCTACTATAACTTCTGTCAATGGTTCTCAAACCCGATTAGAAGAAATTAGTATTGTTCAAATTCTACCTTCTCTCTCCGTTACTTCTGCTCTCTATGTACCTAATTGTCTATTTAATTTACTTTCAGTCAGTCGTTTAACTCGCTTTCTTGATTGTATTATCATCTTCACTAATAGTAATGTCTTCCTGCAGGATCGGAGTCCGCGAAGGACGATTGACGTCGAATGTGAGTTTCAAGGTCTTTATTATCTCTCAATGTCATCTCAGACATGCTCAGTCAAATATTCTTCACTCACTATCCATGCTCAGTTAGGTCATCCTAGTCTTCCCAAACTATAGAAGTTGGTGCCATATTTATCAAAGGTATCTAATTTACTTTGCGAGTTGTGTTAGTTAGGGAAACACACTCGTAGTCGGTTTCTCAATCGAATCAATAAACGAGCTTCGTCCCCTTTTGCTTTAGTTCACTCTGATCTTTGGGGTTCCTCACGTACTGTCTCTACTTTTAGGTATTTTGTCACTTTTATTGATGATTTTTCACGTTGCACGTGGTTATTTTTAATGAAAAATATATCAGAATTATTTTCTATTTTTGAAATTTTTTATAAAGAAATAAAAACTCAATACTCGTGAATACTTATCCCAACAATTTCAAACTTTTATGTCTAGTAATTGTATTCTTCATCAAATATCTTATCCTTATACACCTCAACAAAACGGAGTAGTCGAATACAAAAATCGGCATCTCGTAGAAACCACTCAGACCCTACTTTCCCATGGTAATGTTCCACTTCAATTTTGGGGGAACGCCGTGCTAACGACATATTTCCTTATATCTTGAAAAAGTAAGAAACAAAATGTAGTTGCAAGATCAAGCGTCGAGGCAGAGTATAGATCATGGCAATGGTAACATGTGAACTTATTTGGTTAAAACAATTGTTCAAAAAACTTCAAAATAAAGAAGCAAGACACATGTCTGTGATAATCAAGCTGCATTGCACATTACTTCAAATTCAGTCTTCCATGAGAGGACCAAACATATTGAAATAGATTGTCATTTTGTACGAGAGAAGATTGAATCCGGCGGCATCGTCACAAGCTTTGTCAACTCTAATGATTAATTAGAAGACATGTTTACAAAATCTCTGCAAAGTCTCAAAATTAATTATATATGTGGCAAACTTGGTGCATTTGACTTATATGCTTCAACTTGAGGGGGAGTGTTGATATTTATAAATATAGTGTTAAGAATATTTGTATATAGAATAGTCCCACATCGACTATATCATGTGATTAGTTTTGATCTCTATATATAATAAAGTCTTTGTAGTTATTTTTAAATCACACAATTTATTCAAGTATCTCCCAGTCTCTCATATTTTAACATGGTATCAGAGTCTGATTTAGGATCTAGTGGACCTCCTGCTATCAGGTTTCCACTATAGAGTCACCCACCATTTATTTCCAAGCTCCAGATATTCAGTCTTGGGTGCGAAGGGGGTGTATTAAGAGTCATATGTAACACCCTAAAATTTAGAATTATTTATTTAATTGATTATTTGTGATTATCTGTGTGATGTATTATGATATGTGGTGGCGCAATGATGAGAGATAGACGATGATTAGAATTATTTAGATTTAAATAATTTTACTTTATATTATTTAGATTTATAATAATAATTAAATGAATGTTAAGGTGAATAGGAGAATAAGGGCATAAGAGTAAGTGTGTGTATGCATGTGTAAGTGAGGCTACAATGGGAAGATCATAAAAATGGTTTAATTTAATAAGAGAAATAGGAATCATTATGTACAATCGAGGAAAAATTGGGAGAATGTGAAAGAAGATGCTAGGGTTCAGAGAGGAGAACTCTATAGAACGCGAAGGAAGAGGTCGATCACTAGGAATTTGAGGTAAGCGGTGTAATCAAGTTTATTATGATTGATATGGTGTTAAGATAAATGTAGGATTTTTGTTTGTATGATAATTTGATGAAAAGCACGATGAATACTATGATGAAATTGTGTGATGATGACATTGATATACCATGATTCCTATGTGATATGTGTATAATGATGTATTGTTGTTGAATTGTGATAATATGACGATTATTATAGTTTTAGACTGAGTTTGGTACTGTAATCATAATTGGAATGAGGCTGGAACAGAAGCAAAATCGCAGCGTCACCAAGCGAGCCAGTCGCCCAAGCATCGTCGGGCGAGCCAAGCGGTAAGGGGAACGGTGGAAAAGGTGAGCCCTTGGAAAATGTACGAGGAGGGGAGATCGCCAGAGCTTCTTTGGGAGAGCGAAGCAGCAATGAACCCAATCGCTCTTTTCGTCGGACAAGCAGGAGGCGAGCAGAGCCCCTCCAGGGTCGTCGTGCGAGGCTGAGGCGAGCAGTCTAGCAGTGATTTTCAAAATATCGTAACTTGATTTTTAGGATTCTGTTTGATGTGTCATTCGAAGCATTGGGAAGCTGACACACATAACTATATTATGATAGAATAATAGGGGTAATTACATGTATTATTCTTGTGCCTAAGTATGTATGATTTTGAATCATTATATGTTTGGTGTGTTAAGCGTTTTATTTTAATGATGAATTTGATGTTGTTGTGAATCTGTTATGAAGTTTCTATGATGTCGCTGTGATGAATTGATGTTACATATGGTGATGTTTTAATGATGTGCATGTTTAAATATGTAACCCATGTTATGTGAAGATGATTATGTGAATGATAATGCAATTTATTAGCCATGGTCGAACTTTATGTGATGTTGTTGTGTATCATGCATTCATAGCATTTTGGACGGTGGTCCGCTATTAACAAGCCACAATTCCACTGTGTGGATTGAGTGTGTTTGTGATGTGCTCCAGTTCTAAGAGGCAATTAATCCTATGATGGGGATCATGGAGGGTGATGAACCAGGTGTTCATAAATTTGGTACCACATGCATTGTGTCAGTTTTATTGCATTAACATCCTATGTGGCATTGCATGAGTTTTGTTGATGAATTGTGTTGATGAGTTGTGATGTGATGATAATTGTGAACTATGTGAGTATATGGTGATTTTGATGATGAAAGATGTATACGTGTTGTTTTGATGTATCAGTGTTAGTATGAAGTGTTGATGAATGATATATGTAGTTATATGATGATGTTGATTATAACTACTAATATTTTCCTTATATATTTTATAATGAATTACGACTACTCACTCTTTCTGTTTGAATGTGGCCTCCACGTGGATAACACACAGATGCTTAGGATTAGCGTGTAGGAACGTCAAAGATAGCTTTGGAATATTTTATTAGTTTCGTTGATTAGAAGGTGTCTTGCTCTGATATGTAACATCGAGTTGGGAATGCTTTGTTTTGCGAATGTTATGTTCCTTTTATGTTGACGTACTTTATGACAGTTTGATTGCTAAACCAGTTTTAATTCCAACTTTTGATGAGACTAAAATACTATGAGTTTTATTTTATGAAAAGTTTATTTATGACGATGAATCCACTGCGATGTAGTTAAATGATTGATTTTAAAATATAAAAAGGTGTTATTACTATTGATGTAACCCGTGTTATGGAGCATGATTATTATTATGATGTTTTGTATGAAGTGTGACACCCTTGG